AAAAAAAAAAAAAAAAAACCCAATTAATGTATTCGGGCTCCTCCATGTAGTCATATAGAGGAAAGCTATGGTATTTCCTCATAAGTCATAACCCTAAAACATCCTTCTCCTTTCTAATGACATAGCGCCCCATTAACGTACTGATAGCGAATGTCAGATCCCATTAATAACAATATGATGATAAAATTGGAGGAAAATTTCCTTTTATTTTTCTATATTATGAGCAATAACTCTTTACGTAATATTTTATGGTTTTGCTCTTCAATTATCAATACTTCTATTGTCCTAAAATTCTCTCAATTACTCCTTCTATCTTCCTTTCATTAATGGCTGAGAGGGTGTAGGTCGTAAAAGACGATCCTGAATTTGTATTAACTAAATTGTGTATTACAAATTGGAAATCTATTTTACACAGAAGAAGAGAGAATTGATTCGATCCCTCTTTTGTTTAACGTGGGGTCTTTGGGGGCGAAAGGATGCCTCACTCGATGCTTGAGCCGAGTTTGCTTCCCGTTGACGATTCGAGCAAGGTTGTGAACAAACTTCCTCACGTGGTAGAAGTTTTGACAGAGTTCGAGTAGCCGAGCTAGAATGCTTGAGGGCCGAGTGCACAATTCTCTCAATGCTTTCGTTCTCCTTTTCTCCCCTGCATCCTCTTTTGGTAGCCATTAGTGGCTATTTATAGATGAGAATGGTGTGTAACCGTCTCTTATGAACGTGGGAAGTTGGCACTGTAAATCCCCGTAAATTTTTTAAAAAAATACTAGAGTAAATAGTATTAAATGAGTTACATTACGATAAATATCATTTAATGATGAATAAACATGATAGCAATTTATTTGAGACCAATTAAGAGTATATATGCATTATACACCAATGCAATTCGAATCTGGAAAAACGACCAATTAAGAGTATATATGCATTACACACCGATGTAATTCGAATCTGGAAAAACTCAAAAGACAAAAGTTATATGTCTCTTCTGTAGCTTTCCAATGCATCTTCAACCACCTTATCTGAGGCCGGAAGAAAGAGTTATAGCTAAAATACCAAAGACTATTTTCCCAGTCTGACTGTGTTTCCTGTTTCGGGTTAGATTAGACCTATATATATGTAAACACACCCAAAAGTTCTCCTTTACATAAGATTTGTGAACCCTAGCAGCCACCCTCCCACCTCAAAAATCCTAGAGTATATTTGTGGTGAATTTTGAGAGCTTTGTGAAGCAAATATCGAGAAGAGGGCAAGATTGTCAGCGTTTGGTGAGGGAGAACTTGTTTTCTTGCATCCTTGGGTTTTCCAATAGTATTTTGATGTGAGTTTCATCTCCTTCAATCCCATCCCTATTTTTAATTGATTTTTATTGAGTTTTATTTGGTTTTTATTGAGCCTTAAACCTAGTTTAAGTATAAATATTGTTCTCGTAAGGTATATGGTATAAAGATTCGATCTTTTAGCTTTAAAAAGTTATAAACGAATTCTCTAATGTGAATTTAAGATCTGAAATAAAATTTAATATGAGTTTTTATTGAGTTTTAATGGTTTCCATGATGTTTTTGATGAATATGAATATGTTAGGGTTTAGACAACTTAACTAGATATCATGTTTGTGTTTAATGTAGATAATTAAACCCTAATCACATTAAACAAGATTTTATATTCTATTTTATCTGAATTATGTCAATCTATATGAAATAGAAGTAAACCCATGTTATTCGAAACAGATTTTCAAACTTGGAATTTTCGCCTTTGGTCGGTCAACCGAAGCTCAGGCATCGGTCGACCAATTAGTTCATTTTTGCATGTGCATGTTTTGCACGTTTTATCAGTCAACCGAAGGGTTATTTTCGATCGACTGATTTGTGATGCGATGTTTTGTTGATTGTTGAAACGTGAGGTGTTTGT